TGTCAAGAACGTATTGGAATTTTCGCACTCGGGAGCATGGCCACCAAGTCCTCAAGTTGGGAGTTTGGTAGCCGATTGTCAGCTACCGGTGCCGATTGGGATCACAGGCTGGCAAAAGCCACACACCGACGAGGCTCGGGCAGATCTCGGATGTGTATTTAATTGGCTGGGTACAGTATTAATAATGGCCTGGTTCGATTAATCTCTCTCGTTGGCGATAGCTTTCACCCGATGCGAGGCATGCGCAATTAAGCTTACGGCAATTTTTGAAAATAGTCGTTGGACCGATTTAGTGCGAGGTAATTTTTCGGCGCAACGACGTCGTGGTGACGTACCTTACCACTGGGGCATTTATCCCAAATTTCATTTTCATTCCATTTTGTCCTCCCATTCATGTCATATGAATTTGCGAGTTTGGTCGATAAATCGTTGCCGTTAACGATGCATCGATATTGCGAACGTTATTATGCTAGAGAATTAATTGACGATGTCTATTACTGGTAATTACATCGAAGTATTAACGTCATGGTAGAACTTTTTGTTTTCGGTCGAGAGAATCCCTTTTGCATATACACGTATAGGATTACACAATTTATCATGCCGTATCGTTAAATTACTTGTACCTCTACAGTCATTGACAATTAATACTCTACTTTTTTTTTGTTTGTTATTTTATTGTATCGTTGTGAATTGAAATAAATAATCTCGATTGAAGCTGTACATTGGTTCTTTTGGTGACGAGAGAGAGACGATCTTTTGACTGTCGGTAATGGATGTCAGTGACCTAAGTAATAAGTACATTATAATACCAAGATACGAAATCCTAAATGCCCAATTGCTATTGCTGTAGGAGATTATTGCTGTAAGGTAATTTGAACAGCCAAATCTAATATTGCTCCGTTCTTTTGTGGTTATATATATATATATATATATATATATAGTGGACGTTTCAAGTACTTGGAGGAGATATTTAAAGAATGTACAAGTGCCTACGTTAGAACAAAACGATTTTCAAAGCGCTTAGGTATCTTAATTTACAACGTCAGGTTTTGTATATTACAGTTACGTCACTGGCCAAGTCTATATATAATATGTATAGCAGCAGCTGATTGTAGTAGAGGGAATTCCACACATGGTGGCGCTGCAATCGAAAGTATGTTCTAGGTTTATCTAGCATCGTGAATTTTTCTAGAATTCACTCTTCTAGAAATCATAATAATATAATAGAGGCGATATCTTGGACGAGAAATTGTATTGAAAGTGATTTAATATCTAGTTGTATGATTTAATATTTAATAAGTGAATGAATAGATAGTTTGCTGAGGCCAACAATGGAGGAATGTAGGTAAAAAAGTATAATGCGTCGTTGCAACGGAAATCTTTCTGAAATCGTTATAAAAGATAATTGTAGGCGAGTGTATGTGCGTCTTGTATTGCAGCAGGTTTACGTATTCGACAATATATTTTATAATTATCCGGATATTCGCGCGATTACCATAGTTTTCATTCGGGAGCAAAAGCTAATTTACACGTGTGCCGCTTGCAGGCTCGTGTTCTTCTCTTTCGGTACTTCACTATTGGTCCACCGGTGAAAGGCAAAGGAGAAATTTGAAGATCGCACGACGCTTAATTTCCGAGCGATATTAAATCCCTTGGCAAGCCGACCACATAAATCCATCGATCGATGCCCCTTAATCAAAAGCATCAGTTCAATATATTTTTCTACGTCTTTAGCTCCCTGTGAAAGGGGGTGTAGCCGATTGACGAGTAGCCGTCGATAATTTTCATTGGTGCATTACTGCGCATGTAACTTCACCTGTCGACATTATCTTAATGGCGATAATAGGGATGGGAGAAAGCAATGATGGGACTCGCCTTTGAAGGACAAAACTAAAACCGACTGCGTCGTTGGTCTTTATTTTCGATGTCGAATCTGCCCAATGGGATAATCATTGAGCGATTGAGCACAACGTATAAGTGCGCGTATGATCTGTATATAAGAATAAACCGGAAAATCGCTCGTTTAATTAAACTGATGGCTTATTTTATTACGAGTACAATGTCATTAAAGAGCGTGTTGACACGACATTTTCATTTGTAAAAGTAGATAAAGCAGTCCCAATTGTTTGTAATTACCGACGGCGTATTAATCACTCGAGTCATTAATTAATTAAATAGAGCAGTCGTTAATTCGTTCAATTCAAAAAATATATTTTAATATTTGTATATTATTTATTTAGTAAGACTCTCTGCTAAATACCAACCGTACCTAGTAAATAAGT